TAGAATCTTGCGGACATGCCCTGGTTTTTTTTAGTAAAATTTAAAAGAAGTAAAAGCGTTGATTTCAAACAAATATTGAGAAGGATTCCCACACAGTTTTCGAAGGACAAGTTCTGAGCAGATCTCCAGAATTATTCTGACATGAAGTCCTTAGAAATTGTTAGATGAATTTGGAGGGATTTCTGTGGAGAAGAATGCAAGTTCTAAATTAAATTGAAGGTAATTTTAGAAGATGAAAAAAAAACTTTAAGGAAAAATCCTTCGTGATTCCTAGGAGACTTGTATGGGGATTGTGAGGAAAATGACAGATGCATTTTAAGAAGAATTCCAAGAGAATTGTGATCAGAATTCAACAAGAAACAGAGTTCTAAGAGTGTTCTGGCAATAATTTGCTGAAAATTAGAAACAAATTCTTTAAAATACTCCAAACGGTTTCTAAATAAAATTTTGAAAGATTTATTCTGTTTTGAATAGAGTTAAAATAAATTTTTGAAAAGATTTCTAAAGGAATCAAAGTCTCCGAATAGGTTCAAGGGAATTCTAAGAAGGATTTAAATTCAATTCTTAGAAGGGGTTTCAAGGAAATCCCAAAAAGAAATTAACGGTAATTATTACGTGGAGTGTTTTCTGGTTAATTGCGGAAAATTACATGATAATTTAGAGCAGAGTTCCAAGTTAATTATGGAATTCATACCATGAGCATTTTGAACAACGAAAAATTCAAACCTTGGAAAATAATATTTCAGTTTTGGTTTTTACAAATATTTGTTTCCAAAGTTCAGCATCTTCAATATTTTCTTTCAAGGACCATACACTTTACATCTGAAAATGAAACGACGAAAATCAATTTGCAATATTGCTGAGTTATAAAATTCTAAAAACAATAAGACGGGAAACAGAAAAAAACCATGCAGCAAATAGAGCAAGACATTCATTTGGTAAAGGATCACTTTATTTTATTTATTTAATTGATTCCATCAACAGGCTTCAATAAGCCCCAATGATGTTAAGTAATACAAAAAACAACATGATTGTCTGTGCTTAAAACTTAAACATTACACTGCTATTCACGGTTACCTGTGCCCGAAAATATCGAGGTGAAACTACGGCGAAGCGTCTGACGTGGTACGTGAAAATCGAACACTGAGGCAACTCTGTTGAAAACTCACTGCAGTCCGTTTATTGCTCCATTCATTCCGTAGTTCGTGCGACGAAAGGGAAGTCTCAGCATAAGACTGTTTCTTAGTGCACGTGGTCGTACATTCAAATCGATTTTTTCGAGGATAGTAGGACAATCGATTCTCCCTTGCAATGTATCGGCAACAAGTAAAGCCCTTGCAGCGTCTCTTCGGGTCGAAAGAGTTTCCAAACCAATCAGCTGACATCGGCTTTCATAGCTAGGCAAACGGAAAGGATCTCTCCAAGGCAATCGCCGAAGGGCGAAGCGTAAGAATCGGTGCTTGACTGATTCGACTCTTTCAACACCATTGTTGTAGCTTGGATTCCAAACTGCTGAGCAATATTCAAGGACTGATCGGACCAGTGAGGGGTACAATGACTTCAGGCAATAAATATCAGTAAAGTTTTTGGTTATTCTAAAGATAAAGCCTAGTGTTCTGGAAGCTTTACATATCAACGACATACGAAATATGCTGCTTATATGTGAGTTGCGAATCCAAAATGACTCCCAAATCCTTCACGTGGCTCACTCGTTCAATTGCTGAACCCAATAGGTTGTAGTTGAAGATGATTGGTTCTTTTATCCGAGAAAAGGAGATTACTGAGCATTTCGCCGGGTTAACTTCCATTCGGTTCAAGGTGCACCAGTCAGCAAAAGCATGAAACTGGCGTTGAAGAAAGTGACAGTCGGCAATGGAACGAATCCGAAGGTAGATTTTAAGATCGTCAGCATACGATAGTCGAGGTCCGTCAAGCACATAATAATGGTTTATTCTGAAATTCTGGTGTAAAAATTTGTTCCTATGGTATGGTTAATTTATTTTTCCCGGATCTCTTCCCGGGTTTTTCCCGGTTTTCCCGGTTACTTTTCAAATTCCCGGATATTTCCCGGTATTCCCGGTTTCCCCGGTTTGCTGGCCACCCTGGCCGTTGGTTCCCCGTTCATGAGTTGATGGGTCGATAGGTAGGGTCCAGGTGTGGAAGCTGCCTCCCTGGCGTCGGTGGCATTGGTGCTCAGTACGGAAAACAAGATCGATGGAAAACAAATCATTTGTATTGAGAGGTAATTGTTTTGCATTATGTTTGCTATAAAATAAAATGCTTGATATAGTTTTTGGTTTATTAATCCCAAAGAGAAAAATAAAGGAAACGAAATGTTTGCCCATTTGTGTATTTTTGACTCATTTCCAAATTTTATTTATTTATGGGAATCAAAAGAAAAAACAGTTCTGGCTGTGTTACTCAATTTAGAGTGGATCTGATTTTAAGTAGCCACGAATGAGCGTGCGTTCAAGATGCATTTTACCGAAAAGATGTTGCGGTATTTTCATCGGCGTGACATAAATTTATTCGGCGGCGTGAACTATTTTACTGCGGCGGCGCGCCGGCTCAATTTCATCGGCGGCGGCGGCGTATGAAAATCGTCGGCGGCGGCGTGGCGCGGCGGCGCACAGGTCTAGTGTGTTGGTGAGGTCGAATTCTCCTCCCAATTGCAAAAGAAACACAAACCGGGAAGACTTCATTCCAAATACCAGTGCAAGGTGAGTAGCAGCCAGCGGTTGCACAGTTCACCTTGACTTTCAGTGTTTGGCGTAGAAGCGTCGCTTCGCTTTGCAGAAAAACTTGCCGAGAAAGGTCTTGACCCTCATGGTTCTTCCTGATGCAGGAAAATTGCTTACAAACCTCATCATAATCTTTCGCGCTGACAAGCATGCGTACAATTGGCCGCTGCATCAGCGCCTCTCCAGTGCGAATTGCTCCAACACCCAGCACAATGGCGCCGTTATCGCAAATGTGTTTATACAAAAAATAATCTTTTGCACTTTTCTTCCTTCTTCTTGCCGCTTGCTTCCTCCACCGCACGGCGGAGAGTACATGGATTTTATTTTTGGGCCAACAATGTGCATATGCGGTCCCGTTGGGTTTTGGAACGTCACGTATGCATTTTTCGTTCGAGTTGACGAGCTTATCATTCGGCGTTTTTTTTTTGTATTTAGCTCCCCCGTATCAAATTGAATTATTACCGCTCGTCACTTATTTTGACGACTCTCTACACACTCGGTCAAAACGCCAAATGCAAACCCACTTATACAAACAAACGGGCCATGCGCGCGCCACTGGACAATGAGGAAGTTAAGCTTCGTGCGCACGGCTTCAGCGAAGCTCGGGCTTGACGACAAATTCGAAAAAAAAATGCATCGGATCGTTTAGAAAAAAATAAAGCGATAAGCACAGTGGTCGCCGTTTGATTTAACAAACAATAAGAACCTGGCCTGTTGGGTCATTGAACGGACGCCATATTTGCACACTCATAAAAAAAAAACTACGGAATGCTTCCAGATATCTCTTCCTGATTGCATTCTCTTCGCGCCCCCCGGCTTGCAGCCGCCGCTTCACTGACATTCATCAGTTTCAAAATTATTACTTCGGGCCTGTGCAAAAAGATCTTTTCCGGAGAGAAAGAAATGCATGGCAGTAGGCGGGGAAGGGGTCTAAAAATAGCTCCCGCGCCGCGTTCTCGGTTGCCGCGAATTTTTATGAGATTGCTTTTTAATCGTCGACGTCGTTTGACTGCTGTTCTGTTGCTGCAGCTTCCCCACCATCTGCGTTCTGTTGGTGTAGAATGAGTGGCAGTCAGTAAGCACAAGCAAGCAAGCAACGAACAACAAGATTAATCTTCTATTATTGCCGAGATGACAGGATCTTTATTTTTGGGAACTGCATCGTGCAGTGACTTTTCTTGATTTTCTCTTTTTTTTTTGTTTTGTTCGGCTGTCACTCTGGCAAATTTCGACGAGGAAAATGAATGTTTACATTCTTTTTCGAGCACGCGAGAAATGGGGGGAAAATCGGCGATTGTCAGTCACATTTCCGCCTATATCGGGGGAGAAATGTGTCGCCATATTTTCTACGGCCCGCTGTCAGTTGCAGCAGCAGCAGCAGGTAGAGAAGATGAATCCCCCCTCGGTCGGATGATGCACTCATCCTGTTGCTCTCACATCAGCTGACCGAAAGCGGACAGGAGGACGCATGGTGCGAACAAACGGGGAGGGTGCAACTTTCACGATGACATGCTAATAATAATCAGCGAATGCGCTACTGTCTTCGAGGAACGCACTCACTTATTTCTGAAGGAGAGAGTGAGAGAGAGAGAGGCAGTCAGATGCGAATTTAGATCTGCGGTCCTGTAGTAAACAAGAGTGCAACGAATCTTTAATTACCAGGGCACGTTTTAGCGTTCGCAGCCTGTTCAAGGTTAGGTTGGGATGCGTCAAAATTTTGAATTGAATGAAACAAGGCAGGTGGGGAAGGTAGTCGGTGATGATGACAGATAAGCTCCAATTGTTGTCGAAAATAGAGCGGACTACATGCGCCGTCGATCACTTATCGATGGGAAATTTTGATCGATTTGCTGCTATGCCGAGGTTGCATTTTTGAGTTCTAGACGTGACGAAAAAAAATCGTCTGGGCAAATATTTGCTTACAAGCGCTGCAGTTCTTTTTTTTCTGCAGCAACCCGACAGACTATTTGACTACACGCGCAGCAGCAGCAGCAGGCTGGGATCCGAAGGTAAACAATAGAGCTAGTGTAAACACAGCCTAATTCTAGCTCTCGTCGTACGATCATTTATCAAAGTCCGCTGACCCAATGAATTTCCCATCCTATAAATGAAGTCTATTGATTGTGTTAGCGTGCTTCCCCGCAGCAACCGCAACCCCGCTGGCTGATAAGCGATTATGCAAATTTCAGTGCGCTGATAAGATGCACATACTCCAAACAAATACACATAGCAGTAAAGGAAGTGTAGAAGGGTACTTACGGGGTACACTCCGCTGGTTCCAGATATTCCTGAGTGGTGGAGAGCTGTGATGATAGAAGTTGGGCCGCAGGAACGTTCCCGGCGGTAAGTGGGCTTGTGCTTGCTGTTGTAGATGTTGCTGGGTAGCGGCCGCCGCTGCTGCCGCCGCCGAGAGAGCCACCGATGAGGACAGGGACGTGGGAACGGACGAAGGTGAGGACGAGACATTAAGTGATGGAAGTCCACCGCCTCCGCCGCCGCCTCCTCCTCCTCCACTACCCGGTGGTAACACGGTACCGCAGCCGGAGTTTGCGGGATTACTACTGCTACCACTGTTGCCCCCGCCATTTCCGCTGCCACTGTTGCTAGCGCTGCCATTGTTGCTGAGTGGAATTCCGAGCCGGGCCTTGAGTTCATCACTGCAGGCAGGCTGCCCGCCACTGCTGGAGCTGTCCACATCGGAAACACCACTGTCGGCGGGACTTGGAGGTAGTGAGCCTGCGCGCACATAGGCGGGGTAAAGGAGAAAGAAAAACGAAAATTAAATTCTTTTCCAGCTTACGGTGTGTTTCGATTGAAGGAACTAAATATTTGTACAGAATCGGCAACACTAATAAGGGTTATTTCCCGCGAATGCGTCCTAATCCGTCAATCAAATTCTGCAACGAACAATGTGCGCAACATACGAAAGCTGCAGGTTTCTTCCATCTCGAGATCGGATCAAACATTGCAGCAAAACTGCAACAACAACGAGACTGCGTTTCGCACAGCGGGGGAAATCCCGGATTAAGAGGGCCTTCTTTGACAGTTGAGAAAGAAAGCAGCGCCCCTGGCGGATAGTTTCCGCATTACAGAAGCGGGCGCGCAAACAATGGCAATTAGAGGTTACACGGCAAGACGAAACCCGTCTATTGTTGCGAGTCCGGACAAAGCGAAAGCCATGGGAGCCAGGACGGAATTGACCCTGCCTCAGGGGTAAGAAGAAGCAGAATAAAGGATTCCGATTGTTCACGCAGTTTCGCTCCAGATACGATCGAGAAACGATCCCGATTCGTGAGATTTTCAGCCAGAAGGGTAAGCTCTATAACTACAGGTGATATCAGTTTTATATCAAAAATCGCATTTTTTCGTTTCTCCGGTTGAAGGGTCCTTTCGGTTCAGGAATGTGGGATGAAGAGAAGAAAATAACAATTGCAGCTAGGGCTCGCTCTCACAAGGATCAGACAGGGCCGGATGGGATCGGGGAATTAGGTACGTTTTTCGCATTTTTTGATATACAAAAGAGTCTACTTGATTCAATTCAGTTTTTGGTGAATCGGATTTTTTTCTCGATCTAGGCAAAAAAAAATGTGCGAGGGCTGATGATTGATTTTATTCAGTAGCTCACCCGTTCGGAAACTGCAATAATATTTATTTTGACCCTGTATTTTTTTTTCGTTTGGTTTCTCGAAGGAACCCGTCATTAATTGAAGGTTTGCAAAATTAGTTCACCGATGTGGGTTGATGGGATTTTCTGATTTTCGGTTTTTTTTTGCTTAGTAATGCCACATGTGGGAGCAAAAGGAGTGTTGGTTTTTCGAAAAGAAAGTGGGCAAAAATTACAAAATCCTGATCCTTTTTTCGGCGCGGGACGTGACTTGACATTTCATTGTTCGGCGGTGAGAACGTTCCCACACTTTCTCTCGGTCGTCTCGTCGAGAACCCTTTAATTCGAATCGAGAGATGTAGGCGCATAAGAACATAACTATTAATTGCAAAGTGTGATAGGTGCAAAACTTTTGTCTGAAACCGAATTGATTGAAAAGTGGGAGAGAGAGAGAGAGAAAAAAGGGATACATTTTGATGTTGGTCGGTACGTACTTGTCAGTTTGAGAAAACGTTGCGAATTTTTGAACTTCTCCATCGATTGCAGATGGAAGATGTTTTCCAGGAAACCGTCATCGTCCACGTCGGCACTGCCAGCGAACGGGAACGTGGTCGTAGAGCAAACTCCTGATGTTTATAAATTTTTCGAATATTTTTGATTGTGAATGGAAGACAAAACAAATGCGTAAAAAGAATTCAGTGTGAAAAATCTAATCGTTGTTTTGATTTATGAAAATGAGATGAGATTTGATTAATGAAAGTGTTTGAAAAGCGTCGAAATAATCGTCCCAGATCGCCCACTTCTAAACGGTCGGCGGTAAAGCAGAACTCGATTGTAAACAATAATTGCTAACAGTTGCTTTGATAAAAGTGCATGTGAGAGATCGTGTTGTGTGTGTGTGTTGTGCAATGACAAATTTGGTCACAGTAATTGGATGGCGAATATTTATGTTTTTCTACTGATGATAGCAGCGTGTAAGTCAGTATACTCTCTCCCAAAAACTGTGTATTCAAGGTTTGTTTCGATTGTTCAAACACAGCCGCACTTCGCGGAATAGGTTTATATATTCAGCCGGTGGACCGAACGCGTGGCTATTTCTGCACCGTCATGCTAATTCAGTTGTTTTGTAGGTTCATTTTTTTTCATTGTTCCAGGTAGATATAGGTACCAGCGCCAGAGAGCATCCGGAAGGCAAACGTTTTTCGTACACATCTTATCAAAAGGAGCGGATTTCCTTGAAACATTTACAAGGCTAAACGGCAGAAAACCAAGCGCCAAAGGAACCGGCCGAGGGATTACGACCGATGAAAGATTATTTATCTTGTCTTGCGTTTTTCCTGGACCAAGTTTCCGATGAATGTCGGAGGCGGTGTTTGACTTCCGGCGCTTAGAGCGGGACGAAATATCGATATTTTTCTCTATCTCTTTTAGAGCAAGGATTGTACGGCGTGGCCTTTTACCTTGTTCTTACAGTGCTTGAAGGCCATTCTATGAATAAATGATTTCCTCATTTCCTTCTCCGTTCTCCGGACCGGCTGAGGTGGAAAATTTGCACGGTCGAGAAAAACCGTACGAGAGACCGAAGGCCATCCGGTTGAATCGCAACCGGATGCTGAAAGTGAAATGGAAAATTTAATGAACCTACAGCACGGAGTGGGAGAAGGGTGGCTGCCGGTCAGCCTGCATCCCGGAAGGCGCACTTTCCACTAGCGACGTTTATGGCTCCCAAGAATGACCGAGAAGGCCCCCCTCCCCTTGGACGCAACAGGAAAACTTGTTTAATTATGTGTTTATGTAAATTGCCTCCGAGCGAGGCGAGGGTCCTGCGCTCTCGCAAACCGTATTCCTGTTTCGTTTCAGGTTTTCTAATGTCGTACGCGCCACAGGCAGCCAGCAGCAGAATAAGAACGAACGAAGCGAGCACATGTGGTTTGCTCTTCAAATATTTACATTAACAGCTAAGCAGAAATACTTTCTGGTTGTGCACATCGGTTCGGATGAAAGGATTCCATCCTCTTTCGGTTTCGCCAGGTATGCGAGGATGCCTGGATGCAACACATGCAGACAATGGATTCATAACCACACACTTTTGCACCTTGTGGTGAGTGTCGAGATTAGGCATCCTTTTTGCCTCTCTCTCTCTCTCTTAGAAAATCTGTGAGGGTGAAGGATGCAATCATAATTTTGGTCCATCGTCTATAATGTAATATATGGGATTGACGGGCGTAGCATCTGCCGTGGCGACTGTGTTGCCACCTTGCCATTAACGCCGTGAAGCGTGACTCGTGAGAAGAAAGAAGGAGAAATGTTATTCAATAATTAACCCTTATATTGTGAAACACTCTGCATTCTTTTCAGGATCTCGGGATCCCTTTCGTCCATTGATCCTTCATCGAGAGTGCGACGACGACGGCGTTGATGATCCTTGTCATTCATCGTTGTACAACTCGAACGAACCAGCGAGAGAGCACAATAGAAAGGATTAGAAGCTAAGCTTCTTTTGCCTTACCCATTGACGACCGACTCAGACGCAGACTGACTGGGAGAAAAGAGGTGGATCAATGTTCCAATCAGACACGTGTTGTACCATCCCATATTGAGTCATCATAGATGAGCAGAGAGATAGAGAGACACGAATGTGGATAAAGGATTTTTTTTTTCGGCAGCAGGCTCGGTTCGGGGTCAAAGGATCAACAATTGGACTGTTTATCCTTTCTCCGGTTACCTTTTGTCGGATTTTGGAAAGAAGGGTCCTTTTGATGCAACACACGATGGATGATGGATTTTGCAACTGTTTGGCAAATAATAACTTGGCATCTGCCCGCATGCATATGTACATATATTTGCACCAAGCTGCCGGACCGGAGGATGAATCGACAATAATTTCGGACCCTCATCTCGCATATGAACACATGTGGGGGTGGATGCATATTTGGGTAATATTGAATGACGCTTCGGAAATTCAATAAATGGCAGCTGTTGCTCAATCGAACGGGTTAGAGCAAAGGGTTATAATGTAATTTACTGCGAGGATTTGCACATTGATCAATCCGAAATTCAACGGAAATTTGAACACAGCGCTGTCAACTGCCAAAGTCTGTCAATCTGTCCTCTAAGAGGTACCCATTACATTGTGACTCCTCACGTACAAGCACGCGTGTAAGGAGCCAACATTGTAGGAAAGGTCTCACAGTTCCAATCCAACGGAAATGGACATCCTCTTTTTCACGCTTGTCTCAATTAAATCCAAGTCAAGCTCATCAAAGACAAACCAGCAGCAGCCAGCTGGCACAAAAGGCCAACCAACCAGTTCCCATCGGTCGCAATGACAGATGAATCAATTATAGCTCGCTCATCCCTTTCTTCCGACCGAAATCCATTTTTTCCCCAGTATTTTCGTGTTGTCCTCCTGGTTCAAATCATCATTAAAAAACTGACCGTCAACTGCCATCACGCAATCTACTAGGCTACGACTACGAGGATGACGACGGGCAACTTTGTATAAGAGGAGCGAGGCGCTCTTTAACCGCGGCGGTGATGTGAAGCCCCGATGCAAATCAAGCGAAAAGCAATAAATTATGGTGACATTTCTTCCTGCTTGGCCATCAAAAGCAGCAGCAGCTACAAAAATAATGCGTTCAAACCCGGAGGGAAATCCGAGCAGATAATTCCCTCGCTTCGCGCATCGTGTTGCGTGTCTTTTTTTTTTTAGTTTCGCGTGAGGTGTCCTTTTTCTAATCCTTTCGGCTGCTCGTTCGCGCAAAAGACGACGGCCAAGAAGAGTACGCTAAATAAATAAATCACATCTCTCCCAGCAGAGAGAGAGAGGGTCCGGTTCATGATGAAGATGATGGTCATCTCGTTCTTGGAAGATTTTCGTGAGAAATGAAAATAGATAAATTTATTGACCCTATCATCTGTGCAAGGAATCGCCGCCGCTAGGATCCTGACTGACCGTTATACAGGCATCGGGCATAAATACCTACTCGTAGTTGTTTTCCTTCGCAACTCAACTGGAACTATTATTTAGCTAGGATTTCACTTCCTTCTTTTTTTTCGTTGATCACCATTAAGACAACTCGAATGAAGGGGATGATGCTGCGAAGCTTCCTCATTTCTCGCCCAAACGAACGAAAATTTGAATGCAAAAATCGTCGCTTCGGCAGCAAAATACCTAAAGAAGGGCCAGGAAGAAGGATAAGTGGGCAACGATTTTTGCCTCAAAAGCAACCGTCAGATAGGCGCAATAAAAGTTGTTTTGGAGAGAGAGAGAGAGAAAAAAAACAGGGAAACCAGTCCATCAAATCGAGCGATTAGATACGCTTTTCAAAAAAGACATTCTATGCGTGGAATTACCGGCGAGAGATAAACTCTTTGATGACGCGAATAAAAGAGTGCAATTTGGACGCGGAAGGTTCACCCGAAAAACAAGGAAGATTAGCTGTCGAATACCTAGGCACATAGACAAAGTTGTGTTGTTTGATTCAGGTTACCTAGAAGGGGTTGTAGGCTCTAATGTTGGATAAAGCATGGGACCATCGCTAATAATGTCCTGGTCTTCAATTGGTCCTAGAACAATGCGTTATCTGGGGACAATACCATTGGATATTTTTGGTTGCTAGTGAACATTTGTCCTTCGAGATTTTTGCATGGGCTCAATATTAGGGACAGTTTGGTCGACATTATGGACATCAACCCTATATGGAAAGAAGGCAGTGATTTTCATGGTCAATTGCAAGCGGAAACAGTCTTATACGGAAGGGTGAACGGAGTGTGATGTTGTAATCGGAAGATTCGAATGTGGAATATTTAAATGAATTACAATGTTTCCGGCGAGTGTGATCTTCTGAGAAACGTTCGAAATTGAGTTGGGTTAGGGTAGTATTGTAAAAAATTTGAACTGTTTAATTTCAGCGTGAACTTGTGAAGTTTGCTCTTCTTTATGCTATGTTCAGACTGAGCAGTTATAACATGTTATAAGGCTATCTTGATGACATTTTTCTTGTCAATAATTATTATAGCATGTCGTGCTAGCCAAATAGTTCTGGACTTATTGTAACAAATGAAACCATTTTTCATACGAACTTGCAAATTAAATAAACGTTGGGCTCAGTGGTGGCACGAGTCCTGGAGTTTAACATTTTTTCCTTAAAATTTGATACTTTTTGCGATAACCATTGTGACGACACACAAAAACAAACTGGCAAGCGGCAAAAATGTCATGACATTTCTAAACTGTTTTCTGCCAGCGACAGAACATTTTCGCACAAAGAAGCAGACAAGACCGGCGGTGCGCGCGACATAAATTTATGTCGTGTAGAATTTTGCTGATTTCTGGCTAATTACTGCATTTATTTGATGTTTATTGCATGGAATTAAAAGATAAGAATGAAGACTGACCACTCATAAGCATTGATGTTAAAATTATGCGTAAATAAGGGAGTTGGTAATTTACTGTCACACGCAAGCCTGCAGCTAAAATTTCATTACAATAAACTGTTTGGAAAAATCAGGCTGCGAGATTTTATTTATTCTCTATCTCCGCTGTTCGCTTGGAATGTAGTTATAAACGGTCGCCCGTGTGCTGGCTGTTTTGTTTCGCTCTGGACGATGGTTTTTCAAAAAA